TTACAGCATGTACCAATCATCACTTGAAATTACCAGAGCTGTCAGTCAGCTCCCAACCCCCCTCTTCATGAACTTTCGAGGTGTCTACAACATTCCCCTGGAGCACGGGCTTCGGAAACATACCGCAACAGATACAGTGATCATATAAAGTGGCAGAAAGAGCCTTTATTAGAAAAATGAAACTTTGACTTATATACATGTTTTTACATCTTGTAACCTAGCACATGTCCTGCAACCACATTGTATTGACATTTCACAAGTCACATATCAGACCTGTTCCTTTAATATGATCTACATACACATAAAAAAGCAGAGAACGAAAAAAAATCCCGAACACAATACTTTATGTTACAAATGAAATGTACTTTAGAAAGAACAGGAGATATGTTCAAACCGCCCCACTGAAGTAGTACTTTCTCATGCAAGTTGCCAATAGCAGAAATTCATGTAATTTTCACCGTGTGCTGTATGTAAAATGAGTGTTACCTTGGCTTTATTTGAAAAAATATGATTCCCAATGCACACAAACTTCCCAGAATACTGAGTGCCCTGTTGGTTACAGTGTTTACTTCCTTTTTAATGATATTTTTATTAAATATTTATTTGTGAAAAATACTTTGTCATCTAAAGTATAAGTATGCTTATTTTACACATTTATTTTTTAATCCATTTTCAAATTATTTCAAATTTCTTGAATATTAATTAAAATAAAAAAATTATATCGGATTTATATCAGCCATCGGCCAGCCTGCTTTCCAAGATATCGGCATCGGCTGTAAAAAAACACATATCGGTCGACCACTATTTCTGCTGATAGCAAAGCTGCTTTTTTGACTCATGTAATATTGCTGGGTCACGGCCCCTGTTTCACACATGTTCAGGCTGAAGACTCGAGGCCTGAGCGCCATTACAGCATGTACCAATCATCACTTGAAATTACCAGAGCTGTCAGTCAGCTCCCAACCCCCCTCTTCATGAACTTTCGAGGTGTCTACAACATTCCCCTGGAGCACGGGCTTCGGAAACATACCGCAACAGATACAGTGATCATATAAAGTGGCAGAAAGAGCCTTTATTAGAAAAATGAAACTTTGACTTATATACATGTTTTTACATCTTGTAATCCAGCACGCGTCCTGCAACCACATTGTATTGACATTTCACAAGTCACATATCAGACCTGTTCCTTTAATATGATCTACATACACATAAAAAAGCAGAGAACGAAAAAAAATCCCGAACACAATACTTTGTTACAAATGAAATGTACTTTAGAAAGAACAGGAGATATGTTCAAACCGCCCCACTGAAGTAGTACTTTCTCATGCAAGTTGCCAATAGCAGAAATGATTTCATTTATGCAAGTTTGTGTCAGCTTTCTGTAAGCGATTACTTTCAACTTACATTAAAAAGTTCTTAAGACATTTCAGTACGCACACAAGTGATAATGCTTCATTATAAAAGAACATTTAGGCAGCAGGTCACATGGTTTCAGTGATAAATAGGTTATAGTCACATGACAATCCCCACCCGCCCTAGTATAAAACACTGTTCTAAAATAATTTCTACTTTTAACCACAGAAAATATGAATGCAAAGCTCACAAGAGTGATTAAGTAAACAGGAAACACAAGTGATTCTTTTCAAACAAATATTTCTTTCCATTGTGAGTCCACTACGATCAAAATCGTCATTTTTTACAGGGAAGGCAGCGTTCTTTTATCCTTTATTAAGTGCAAGTGTTTCAAGCAGCTCTGTGCTCAAACTCAAACAACCAAACAAACAAAGAATTCAAAAAGTTACTTTTTGCTTCCTTTAGGGTCGATACTCACTAAACGGTCTGTCCTGTATTTTGATTCCCTATTAAAACAATCGAGCATTTAAAATATCCGTCACTGGAAATGCATTACAAAAATCAAGAGCAGCATTTGGTTTTAAAACTCAAGGTGATTGAATAATCCTCATATTTTAGTCATGCGATGATAAAAATGGCATTGCTAAAAGAGCCGCATGACTGACAGTTTCTGTGTTGTTTTCAAGCTGCCGTTTTTGCCCTTGCAAATGTCTTCCTGAGGGTTATAAAGCGGCCCGAGAACGAAAGGGAGCGAGCTGCAGTCGATGCATGAGGACTCTCGCTCCTGTCTTTAGCCACCTGCCCCTTCTCACCGAGCTTTGTGTGGCTCTGGCAGATATAATTTGAGCTGAGGTGATTTCTCCTTGAAACTACCTCGATGGGAACACAGCCAATGATGCAGTGACAGTACAACAGCTTGCCTGGCAGCCGAAAGGGCCTGTTGTATTACTACACTGCACTTGGCAAAATATCAAGTTTGGGAAAGAATGGATTTCAAATGATGGATGCAGAATTGACTCGGAAGGAGATCTGTTGTCATGTTAAGTAACGCCTCACATCCCTGCTTCCATTCTTCGCTTTTGATATTCTGCCCTGCGCGGTCATAAAACTCTCCTCAAAGGGAAAGAAAATTGGTTCTGTATGTATCTTTTAGCCTAATGGGATTTTATAAAAGACAACCGCGTGGCGATGGAGGCATCTCTGTTATCTGAAAAGACTTTTAAAGTGTAAATATTCAGCATACGGACTGAGCGCCATTAGCCGCCGCTCCAAAAACTCCCTCTTTTCATGATCCACAGATAAACGTACACAAACACACGTCTCTGCTGAAAGAAGTGGAGCGTAACAAACGTGACGGACGAAACGGATTAACCCTTAACTGGCGTTTAAGGTGTAATTGAGAAAGTACACATTTTTTAAGTAAAAGTCGCTTACTGACTTTTAGAAACTGAACTACGGTACTTTGCCTAGTCTAGCTCGTCTTATGGAAATAATCGGCATCTGAGCTATGTTAAATTCACATTCGTGTACTATTCTATGAGAGGTAAATAAAACCAAAAATATAATATAATAGATTTTTAATAAACTACAGATGGCTTTTGCCTAGCCAAAAACTGCTACATAAAATAATCCCACACAGTTCCCGAACTGTATCCAGTTGCAATCAATACCTGACCTGCGCTGTTCCACCCGACCGCCTCCGATAACCTTCCACAAATACAGAACGGTGAAGTAAAAGGTACATTTTGGTTTTCAAGGTGTTTCTGTCTAAAAATCCCAGAAGTTTGGCGGCCTAAACAACACGCTATAGTGGCCACAGAGCTTTGGTTCATGAGCAGGATGGATACATACCTTGCAGTCTCACGACGGACCCATGTCTGTGAACCAAAGAGGCCAGTTCTCCTCACATCGATCTGTAGGCATGCTTGATCCAAGCTCACCTTCCGATTTTTAATAAACTACAGATGGCTTTTGCCTAGCCAAAAACTGCTACATAAAATAATCCCACACAGTTCCCGAACTGTATCCAGTTGCAATCAATACCTGACCTGCGCTGTTCCACCCGACCGCCTCCGATAACCTTCCACAAATACAGAACGATGAAGTAAAAGGTACATTTTGGTTTTCAAGGTGTTTCTGTCTAAAAATCCCAGAAGTTTGGCGGCCTAAACAACACGCTATAGTGGCCACAGAGCTTTGGTTCATGAGCAGGATGGATACATACCTTGCAGTCTCACGACGGACCCATGTCTGTGAACCAAAGAGGCCAGTTCTCCTCACATCGATCTGTAGGCATGCTTGATCCAAGCTCACCTTCAAGTGGATTGACAGTATTTACTTAGAAAAAATCTGCCGCAATAGCTGTAGTCCCAACCCCCACCCCGGCCCCGAAATGTTCAAGCTTAAAAAACTGCAGGGCTACAATCCCTGATAACGAACTGCATGGAGACTTTGAAATCTCGTAAGGTGACATTTCGATGCAGACCTTGTGAGTGATGTCATTTTCTCGTACGTACGCTACAGAAAATGAGTGCTACTGTGCAGACCTGTGAAACCCACACAAAAAATATTGTTTACTCTGTATCTTCGTAACTTTCATGAATTATTTGAGCATGAATTTACAAGCAATTTACAAGTGTCATATATTCAAAATAGTTGCGAAGTCTTTGAGGAATTAAAAAAGCTCTATTCTTACAGCAAACCATAGATAATAGAGAAAATCAAGAAGACGTCATATCTTTGGAGGGATAGCAGACCCAAAAAGGACTTTCTCTCTCTCTCTCTCTTTACAGGTTAAGTCTGGCTATAGGTGACAGGTATGATACAGAAAGAGCAGCTGGTGATGTTTTCACCTGCCAATCGAGGAAGAGCAAGGATATTCACCTCGCCTCACAAAGGATACGAAATCAATGCAGCTGTGGCTCTGTGATTAATATTAGAGGCTAATACCTTGCTTATTTCTCCAAAACAGCAGCTCTGCAATATGAATGATCATTTCTTTCCACATATATATATATATATATATATATATATATATATATATATATATATATATATATATATATATATATCCTCAATGTGAATAGCGTGTTGATCGTGTTACGGACTGCGACACAAAACTAATGCTCTAGTTCAGACTTCTAGTTCAAGCTTCACATGCGGCCCTCATTACACTTACTGAGTGGATCGCAACAGCGAAGCAAGGCTCCGCCAAACTACAGTAAACAACAGTCTTTGAGAGATGATGCTCTGATTCGGTTTCACAGTGTACAGTGACGGGATGGAAGTATCGAACTAAATAAATGCGAGACAAACTTCCATCGCAAACACTTCCCCACAATCTAGAAATGGAGGATCAACACAATATTCCCAGTCAAACAACCTACATACAGGTCAAGTTTTCATTGCACAGATGACCACCTCAGCTTTCGAACGAAATCACCTTAATATAAATATATCTTCAACCGAAATAAGACAAGAAAAGAAACACACATGCAAAAGAAATCTATTCCTGACTGTAATATAGAAGTTCTGTTTATAAAGCAGAGGTGGGCGGTTAACTAATGACTATTGTGCTACCAAATAAGATAGAGAAGAGTCTAAATTCTAAATAGGGATTAGAATGCCAAAAATCTTAAGTCTATAGTAATAAAAGCAAAAATGCAATTGCTGAGTGCCATGGATGAAATACCCTTGCTTGCCTTAAGATCAGGAACTATTCCAGCCACAGTCCATCAGATACATATACGCTCTTGTCACATGCAACGTGGGGCCAAATAACTGAAACCCCACCCTAGAATCTGCTTTAGCCCACAGTAGCTTCAGGTCGGACTTGAAGCGGCACATCTGTCCTAGCACTTAGCGTTTCGAGTACACACAAGTGCTAGGCCAAATGATGGGGATAATGAACAACTTCCATGCTGGATCACATTTTATTGGCTTACACTTGACTAACTCTCTTTCTGCAAGTACTGTACCTGCCCAGAAAGCATCTTAAAATGCTGAAAACCTCTGGAAAGCTCTCATATAAGAGGAGCGATATCTCGGGTACTTTGTAGATGTAGGTGACTGTGGCATTCTAAGTGAGTAAATAGTTCAACTACACAAAAAAGCATTAAACATCTGACTCGAGACTAGGTATTTTCTTATACACTCGTCTATTGCTAAACTGCGAAGAGTTGAGAACCCGGGGAGCTGAGTATGCACTAGTCTTATTGGCGACATAAGGCATTACATGCTCTGAAATGTACATGTCATTGGGTATTTGACCATCCCTGGAACAGTATGAAGTGGCGGACTTCACGGAGGACCTCAGATTGTTCTCGTTCCTAGCTTTGATGGGAGCCAACTGTTTGTAAATATCCGAGGAGCTCCTGCCATGGACCAGGCGAGTGTCATCCCGTATAGATTGCATGAAGGGGTTGTCCGAGGGGTGATCGGGGTAAAGTGACTTACTACGCTTGCTTTCCTCCAGGTTTCGGTTAAAGAGCATGGACTTGCTGCCGAATAGTTTGTCAGCCTTGATGTTAAACATGTTTGCATAAGGGCTGTCCTCCAGGAAGCGGTCCTTCTCCTTTAGGCTGACGCTCCGCGCCGGCCGGTTCAGGTCAATTTCTTTGGGCTTCTCAAGCATGATATTGTCAAAGGAGTGCTGACGGCTGAGCCTCAGTCTGTTCCTCCTCTGCACGTGTGGCCCATCTGTCTGAGGCCAGTAGTGGCTAAACATGTCATCGTGGTGCATGCTAGGGCTGATCATGGCCTCATGCAGCATCTGGTCCTCACTGATGTCATACAGGTTGCCCATGTGGATGCACGCCTCGCACCGGTTATACGGCGAGCGTAGGCCGGCATACGGCCCCGTGCTGTAGTTGGTCACCTTCGAAAGACAGCTCCGGCAATGAGTCTGTTTAAGCCTGTCGTTGCTTTCGTGAGGACTGAGGTTCTTCTCTTTCACGTTGTAGTGTTTGTTGTAGACGTTGTCCGGCAGAAGGTCCGATTCGCCTTGATGGAGGGGGCTGCTGTTGAGATGGATGATGGGCTGGTCGCATTTCCTGTAATTGTCGTTGTGGTCTGAGTAAATTTCGCCGAAATCCAAATCGTCAGTTGTTAGGCCTCTGCCTTCCCTGTAGTGCTGTGGCTCTGAGTGCAGACTCAGCTCCCGGTCAGAGTCTATGGTGTAGATTTTCTCCCGGCCCACTCCGCCCTGCTTATTTTTTAAGTAGGACAGCTCTACTTCGCTGCAATCCCTAGGGTATTTTGACGTCATCGATCTTTTTTTTAAGTTATCCTTGGGCTTCAGGTGCTTGTTATTGTCTGGATCCTTGTAGGAGGTGGCCCTGCTTGAGCAGTCAGAGATATCCGAGTGTGCTGTGTCCTCTGGCAGGTACCTCTGACTCTTCATGGACAAACGGGGGTCTAGGGTATCAGGCCCCTGAGTTTGACGCAAAGTATCCACAGATTTCTTCCACAGAGCTCGGGGTTTTGCATTGGTCTGGGCTGTGTCTGCGCTCACCGCCACCTCTACCGTATTAGGGTTTGATTCATTGAGGGTGAGGGGATGCTGACCTTGGAAGATGTAGTTGTTCAGATGGTCCTTGTGTCGGTTGGCCAGATACGCCTGCAAGTCGCTGGAGTCTCCGTAGATGTCCTTTTGGGCATAGCTACGGTTGTCAGTGTAGATGAAGTTCCCTTTCTCTGCCATCATGTCCATGATCATGGGGCTCGCCGAATGCATGAACTCACTGCCACGTTTAGGAGAGTTGATCCTGGAGCCACTGAGGTTGGTCATATTAGTCATCTGCTTGGCGGACTTGATAAGCTTGAGCATGTTGGACTGTGGACTGAAGTCCAAATCAGATGACTTTTTCTTCATGTCGATGTGAACGCCATGAATGCAACTCCATATACCCTACGGAAAAAAAGAGTGAATCAAGCTCAATATTCATACATTAACCATGATGTTTGTGACTTGCAAATGTACACATCAGTGTGATCAAAGAGCACTTATGAAGTTTTAAATTAGGCCATAGATAAAGCCTGTGACACAGATGCCGTCAAATGTAAAAACGAATTGCCAAGGGGTTTATTTTTAAAGGCATATTTCCTTTAAAAATTATCCCCTCCTCTTACTATCTCTGTGAATCTCTTTTTACCAGTAAACACTTATATCTTTTATGCTTGAGTTCTCCAACACTAGCATTTTATTACCTTAAAGATGCTAATCAGAGGCACCATATTCTCACACTTACAGCATGTACACAAACCCATCGGGGATCAAAACTAAACAAAGACATACTGAGCTTTTGGCTGTGCTAGAGATCATGCTGTCAAAACAGACTGCTGCGCTGTCATTTTAAGCTCCCTGGCCATGGAACGAGTGGTCGAAAATCAAATTTCTGACAAACTTTTTCTTTCAAACACTGCCCATGTCAGGGTAAAGTCTGAGCTCAAACGCTAACTGGATTACCACTGACACTCTCAGAAGTCAGGTTGAGTTATATTGGCTGGCCCTACTGTCAAGACTGAGGACGTCTTTTATGGCATGAAATTAAAATCAATAACTGTGAGGGCGATCCAATTCAGCAAACACCAAAAACAGGGGTCTTCAACAGTGGGTTCACAACCTCTAGGTGGTCTACTGTGGGTCAGCCAAGTATTACTTGATCTCAAAATAATTTGTCCCTCATTTGTCCCTAATTTGTTTATGCCTTTCATAATACTGTATATGCATATATGACCCTGGACCACAAAACCAGTCTTAAGTCGCTGGGGTATATTTGTAGCAATAGCCAAAAATACATTGTGTGGGTCAAAATTATTGATTTTTCTTTTATGCCAAAAATCATTAGGATATTAAGTAAAGATCATGTTCCATTAAGATATTTTGTACATTTCCTACCATAAATATATAAAAACTTAATTTTTGATTAGTAATATGCATTGTTAAGAACTTAATTTGGACAACTTTAAAGGTGATTTTCTCAATATTTAGATTTTCTTGCACCCTCAGATTCCAGATTTTCAAATAGTTGTATCGCGGCCAAATATGGTCAAATATATCCTAACAAACCATACATCAATGGAAAGCTTATTTATTCCGCTTTCAGATGATGTATAAATCTCAATTTTGAAAAATTGACCATCATGACTGGTTTTGTGGTCCAGGGTAGGGATGCAACGATTATAGATTTTGTTGGTATGATTATTGTCTGAGGAATAATCACGGTTTTACGATTATGACGATTATTATGCATTTATTCATTTCCCAACATTACTAATGTATAAAATCACATGAACACTCTTTAGATATTAAAGTGTTATTTATTGCTGGCTATTGAAACAGAAATAACACAGTAACCAACAATACAGCACAAAATAATAATAAACAAAAGACAAACAAAAGTCCATCTCTCCCATTGGAATTAAAAAAAGGTGACCTCTGCTCTGTAAACATCCATGACAGTATTTCTCTTTTGAAAATAACAAATGGAAATAGATCACAAAAGTATTTAATGTTTTCTGTTTGTACGTTCTTTACATTTCTTTTGGACCTGGGGTAGAGAATTTGGAAACATGGTGGAAAAAAAAATCTTGTTGGTTTTTACTTATGAATAATACTACAACAGGGATAGTTGTAAATAGTAAATAACAAAGTTAATGAAGTAGCCTATTATTAATATATGACTAATATTAACTTTATTTGTCCCACAGGGGAAACTGTTACTAATGATGGAAATAAACTGAAATATTATTGTAATCAATTGTCATCCATACGTATTCATTTTAATAATCTTTATAATAATTCATATGATTTTACATGTGGCCTGAGAAAATCATGTCTATTATTTTGGTTTGTGAGATCGAAGATGGCGCTGCGCACGTGTACAAACATTCAGGAGGACACAGAATTCTTAAGAACGCTGCCCCGTGACTTTTATTAATAAAATCGATTAAATAGCCTACTGAAGAGACGCACAGACGCAGGTAGGCTAATTCACACAGGCAACTGTCACCTCTCTCTCTCTCTCTCTCTAATAATTAATTCAAGTAGCTAAATGTTATAATTAATTCAAATAAATAAATGTGATCTTACCGCACTA